CCATCATGACTGTGCCTGTCTTAGGTTGTCCCTCCCTTGAGGAATCTTACCTGTCATTGGCTAACCAGTCATCCCAGGGCTATGCAGGGTGAAGTAAAAGGGGGCAGAGGTCGTACCTGTGCCGGGAAGCTTTGTCTCCTTATTGGCTTTGTCTCTTACTCAGCCTTAGCCATGGTGGGTTACAGCTTCTGAAACCAGGCAGGGCAGTTCCCAACAATGGAATACTACTTGGCCATAAAAGGAAGGAAATCTTACCTTTTGCAACAGCATGGATGGACCTGAAGAGTATTATGCTACGTGAAATAAGCCAGTCAGAGAAAGACAAGTATCATATGATTTTAATTATATGTGGAATCTAATGTACAAAATAAACCAACAAAATAGAAACAGGAGCATGGATACATGGAATCAACTGACGACATTCAGAGGGGAGAGGGTTGAGGGGCTGAGTGGAAAAGGTAAAGGGATTAAGCAAAAAAAAAAAACAAAAACAAAAAACCTCATAGACATAGGCAACAGTATGGTGATTACCAGAGGGAAAGGGGGGTGAGGGGAGCTAAAGGAGTATAAAAGGGGAATAAATGGTGACACGAGGAGACTTATTTGACTTATCAGGTGGTGAACACGCAATACAATATACATAAGATGTATTATATAGGTTTCAGGTATACAATAATTTTTATTAACCAATACCACTCCAATAAATTCAATAAAATTTTTTAAATAAAAAAGTCTTTAAAGATAAAGCACATTTTCATTACGTAATTTTCTATACCTCATGTATTTTTTATGGTCGAGATAAGGGAGCATTCTAGAATAGACAGCTTCTCAACTTATTTAACAAAATCCAAACCAATTTTTCATATAAAATGATTAATCCATGATTTTGCTGGTTATTCTACCAGTTACTTATTGAATCTCATCACTGTGTAGTATTGAGTGCCAGCCACGTGCCAGGGACAGGAATGGATGTCCTATGGACAAGACTGTTAGGGCTGTGTTCAGACACTACAGTATTGTCAGAGACAGGACTGAAGTCCTGCAGGAAAGTGGTTTTCTCCTCATGTTGCATATAAAAGTGATCATCCTGCCAGCCATATAATCTTCTAAAAATGTTTCAATGTGGTTCTGCTTTACTGAAGGGCAGTTTCCACAGAATATACCTCATTTCTATTTCATGACTTACGATGTAGCTACAGAGCATTCTCCATCAGCACTGCCCTTGTAGACATTTGTTTCAGAGGAATCTTCATGGTGCTTCTTCTGCCCAGATCCAGCCCACCGAGGCTTACCTGTGAGAACTGGTTGGGTGCCCTGCTGTTACCATCTGCCATAGCTGTTCAGAGCCTTCCTGCCCACTGTAACAAGTAACCTTTCAGTGTTGGTGGATGACATTTGCTGAATGTTCTTGTTTCCTATCATGTGGGATGTGAGTGAGCATGTGACCTGTATCCCAATAGGCATCCTCAGAGAATAAACCCTTTAAGATTCATAGATGCTGTCTGTAAAACAGATGAAAATGCTTTATGCAATACCATTTGCCATCCTTTCTCTCCCTGACAGTGTTCTGACTAATCTTTTTCATGAACTGCTGTATCTCATCAGCTTCCTGCTGCTGGCCTGGCGATGCTGACAAACATTCCTCCATCAAACAGGTAGCAGATACAATGTGTGCCTTCCAAGAAAACAGTCCAAGAACAACTTCCATCCTTTGTCTTATATTAAATGTCTTGTTTCAAAAGCACTCAATCTTAATCTGGAAATTTTAACTGTATACCCTCGATCACCTGCCCAGTCCTTACATGCTTGCACCATGTTGAAATCATTCCCAACTAGATGCAAGTTAGGGCCACTGTGAGTCAACATATTTTTTGACATGCTTTCAAATGCCTATAACTAGATACATTAGAATCTGGAACATTTGTTAAACCTCAAGATTTCTAGGCTTTGCTTTATCCTCATTAAGTCAAAGTCTTTAGGAATCATACACCAGGTGCCTCTCACAGGCAGCAGCTATGGAGTCACTGCTGTGGAGTATGTTTATTCCCTTATCCAGCTATTGTTAGTACATAATAAAGCAAAGAGTTTTTTAATCTGATAGTGAGTGTTAGAGTGTACATCCAACCTTCTAGTAAACCCTTTGCGCTCCATAGATTCTGAATTTTATCAAAGTCCCTGTAGATAAATCTGAATGAATGTGCCTGAAAACTGCATCGTAGGAGAGGGACACAAGTGATCACATAAGAAATGCCTTTTCTGACACATACAGAATAGAAAAACTGTGTCCAAAGAAGCAACATGTCAGATTGCTATGGATCTGAGGGAGTGATTAGACTAGTAATTGGGAGTCAGTAAACATAATGAATGCATTCAGTGGAGTCCAAAAGATGGCTTCATACATCCATCAGTACATATTCCTCCAGTGGTCAGATATTCCCCACTTTGCCTATTAATGAGACTGTAAGTTTAAAAACAATTGAAAATGTGCTTTGTGTTCAAGGGTAAGTATATTCCTTTAAGTGCTGACTTTAAAAAATAATTAAGTTTTCCTTGGACCCAAGATTACTGAATTACCTGTTTCCCCCCAAATCATCAGTTTCTTGTAGCTGTGTTTCCTCAGTCTCCTCCTTGCTGTCAGCTGTCACTTTGTTGGCAGCTGTTTTGACAGTGGAGAAGTTCTGTAAAAATAGTTCTTCCATTTGATGAGGAGGGGCCTGTCCATGGAAGACTAGTGTGGGTGACCTGAATGGTTCTGAATAATAGGGCCAGCCTGCAACTGAAACACAGCCCTTGGGGTGCTATGTCCCTGTCTCAGCACCACGAACAAATTTGGAAAAGTCATCACCTTTTGAATAACTGCAGTTTGTCCTTTTTCTTTACTCATGTGAGGAGCATTTTTTCTGTGCTGATGATTCATACTGCTATTGTGGATGGAGGATTTAAAAGAAAATTGTCTGCTTTTTCAAAGAGGGTGCTTATACTGGGTTTAAAAGGAAATCTCCATTGTTGTGAGATTTCCACATATGATTGTGGTCTCTTTGGGAAATTGTAACTCCCAAGGATGGATTTGTCTTCTGGAGGATGAAAAGTGGGATAATGCTTATTATGTTTTTGGTCTTGAGTACAACCCATAATTGTGGGTCCTTAGGAATTCTCATTTGTGGGCTTAAAATATTATATTGTACACTGTATTCTGTTTTATCTTAAGGATACATAGGAGCTATGTGACATCTGGTTTTTCAGCTGTTATAGTAAAGTGAGGATAATGACTGCTTCCTAAGATTTTGGTGAGGCTTGGAATTTTGGAAAATGCCTTGTGTAATAAATAGCAGTCTCCTAACAATGAGTTATTACTCAGAGCACCAAGGGGAGAGCAAGTGAAAGTATAAGTAGGCAGTATGTATTTTTAACAATTCAGGATAATTGTTTTTTAGCCCCTTGGGGGTTGGGGGAGCCAGAAGGAAAGTGCACATTAGGATGCTGTGGAGTTGACAAGAGCTGTTCCAGTCCTGTAAGTAAGTTGGTGGGGTGATTTCTCCCTTGTATACAGGAGAGATGACATTGTCAGCTCCTGCCTGTGTGCGGAACAGAGGGCCAGCTGCACTGTGTGACCTTGACTTCACCTCTAACATGAGAAGTGGCTCATGAGTGGAGTGGTGGCCAGAGGATGTACATGATGTGGTTCTAGTAGGGGGGGCTGAGAGGTGAAGACCCACCTGGGGGTGCAGTCCCTGAGAGCCCTAGCCATGTCCCCTGCCCAGACCACTGATATCCTTAACCATTCAAGGCTGGTACCGTCTGGTGCTGCATTTTGTGTTTCTTAACTCTCCTCACCCTACTGGCGAGCCCCCATACAAAATAACAATGCACCAGGGGCCCTTGTTTACATGAAAGGTTTCACATTGATAAAAAGAATATAGGATTTTATAAACAATCCTGAAGTGTTCTAAAAAAGAAAACAATCCTAAGACCTGAGAGCCAAAGACAGTGGCCCTGTCTTGATGCCTGCAGTGCAAAGCCACGTAGGGAAGGATTCCGTGCCAGGTATTTTGTACTATACAACCTAAACCATAGACGTTGTTCCTAACTAGGAACTTGAAATGGTCGTTTGAAGGAGGATCACTGAAAAAACGTTATCTACAGGTTTGCCTCATACAGTATAGATAATATAATAAATATTAAACACAAAGGTCAACGTCACTGATAAGAGTTTATAATTTGTATTTTATTATGCCACCTCATTTGAATATGCAGATAGTCACAGAGTAGTCAGCAGGGCTCTGTCAACACAAATCTGCCTCAGTGTTCTGCAAGCAGGCACAACCAGTGCAGCTATTAGAGAACAGCTTCACTTTTGTGGCATTCAAAATAGTATATATACCCCTGGCTGATGTGGCTCAGTGGATTGAGTGCCGGCCTGCAAACCGAAAGGTTGCCAGTTCGATTCCCAGTCAGGACACATACCTGGGTTGCCAGCCAGGTCCCCAGTTGAGGGCATGCAAAAGGCAACCACACATTGATGTTTCTCTCTCTTTCTCCCTCCCTTTCCATCTTTCTAAGAAAAATAATTTAAAAATAAAAAATAGTATAAATAACCATATATATAAACATTAAAACACTTCTTCAACAACAAATAATCTTTTTATACTAGGGAAGTGAAATATTCTTGTGCTTAATCAATCCTCATAAGTATATTTAGAAGAAAGAGAAGAAAGGCTAAGCTAATTTTACTGTATATTTTTGCTGAGTCCTCACTTAACATCATGGGTAGGTTCTGTGACTTCAAGTGAAACAGCATATAACAAAACCAGTTTTACCATAGGCTAATTTTGTAAGCAAAGGTTAACTTCTTAGGGCATCTCATCAACATTATCATGAAATGACACTGAATGAAAAGAGATTATTTGAGGACCTGCTTTACATACATGCCATGAGGAACAATCCTTTGTGCCTTATTCTTATGTTATCACCATCCTTTCTCTTGTCATTTTTTTCCCCAGGCCCAGATTATATCAAACAGAGATTTCAGGAAGGTGTAGATGCTAAAGAAAATCCAGAAGAAAAGGTACCAGAAAAGCCACCTACACCAAAGGAATCTCCTCATTTTTATCGCAAAGGTACCACACCCCCAAGGTCTCCTGAGGCAAGTCCCAAACAAAGGCACTCTCCCCAGCCATCCCCACAGCCTGCAAGGAAGCAGAACCCCAGCCCAGGGGCCAGACTCAACCGAGACATACGGAATGTGGCTGATGAGCAGGTGACAGCAGTCATCAACAAGCCATTGATGTCAAAGGCTCCCTCAAAGGAGATGGGAGCCATCATGCCCCAGTCCAAGTACTCTGGCCGCCACCATGTCCCCAACCCCAGTAACGGGGAGCTACATTCTCAGTACCATGGCTATTATGTGAAACTGAACGCTCCCAAGCACCCTCCCGAAGATGTGCAGGAAGATGAAGGATCCGGCCACTCTTCCTCAGCACTGGTGCACAAGCCATCACCCAACAAGTGGAGCCCCCCTAAATCTGTGACAAAACCAGTTGCCAAAGAAAGCAAAGCTGAGCCAAAAGCCAAGAAGTCTGAACTTGCTATACCAAAGAATCCAGCGAGCAACAATTCATGCGCTTCTTTGGAAAAAGAAGCCAATTCGGTAAGTTGACTAAGATGAGTTTTCTCTTCCTTACCTCACTCTGGTTCTTTCAGGTAGCAGCATGGGGTGACTTGCACCCTGATGACGACTAGGCTTGCAAAAGTCCTGACACCACAGGGCTGCTTAGAGCAGATCTGAGCACGTTTGTAGCTGGAGACAGGAAAGAGCTCTCCAGGCAGGAATGCCTCCATGTTCACTCAGCCAGCCACCCACCCACCTTAAACATCATTCAGGTAGGTTAATACACAACCAGCTTGGACAGCATCGTGGTCTAGCAAGCCTTCCCCAGCACTTCCTGGTAGCTTAGTTCAGACTGCTCTAACAAAAGTACCATAGATTGGATGGCTGAAAAAGCACATTAATTTCTCACCATTCTGGAGACTGGGGAGTTCCAAGATCAAGGCACCAGGAGATTTGGTGTCCAGTGAGGACCCACTTCATGGTTCATAGACCGTGGGCCCTCTTCTCACTGTATCTTCACGCAGCTGAGAGAGAGAGAGCTAGTTCTCTCTGCTTCTCATGAACCCATTATGATGGCTCTACCCTCATAACCTAATTACCTCATAGAGACCCCATCTCCAAATATGCAGCATTGGAGATTAGGGTTTCAATATGTGAGTTCTGGAGGCACACAAACATGCAGTCCATAATGACAGCTAACTCCCTGATGGTTACAAGGGAATCACACCCTTGTCAGAGCCCAAGCTAGGAAGAGGGCTCCACCACCATTTGCCCAGTTCTTAGCCCACCTTTTGACTCCCTAAAAGAGTCAACACCTTTAGACAAAAGTACATCTTTTCTAGCTATTGTGAATTATTCTCATAAATATTTAGTTTGGATTTTACTTTAAACCAGGTTTTGCAGCTAGAACATTTTTCTTTCCCATATGCGAACTAAAAGTGTACCTTGGTCTTCCAACCCCTCAGAGTGTAGTGCTCCTAAAATTTCAGATTTTTGGTAGATGCTGATTTTAGTAAATCTTGAGCATTTAAGGGTTTTGGTATTCAACCAGAAAGCTTTCATGAAGTTATTGATAAATCTCAAATGAGATTTATTTGTTAATGATACATGGAATTCATATTTTATCAAGTTTTGTTGAATTTATAAAAATCTAAAGCTGGGTAATTTTGGATAAAACCATTGACTAGCCTATCCATATGCCTTTGGAACACAGGTGTTGCATGTTTATCCTAGTTTAGGGAGGAAGCCAGAGCCAACCCAATATTTACTAGTAATTTCAGAGACATGCTTACATAAAGGTGTGTGTTAGTATCTTGGTCAACAAGATTATAATACAATCCTCCGTTTCTCTTTTTTTGGTCTGCTTAATTTTCGCACAGGGTTAAACAATTAAGATTCATCTTTTTAATTAACTTATGTTTGAAATTTCTTAGGTTTGTTGACTTTGCTTATATCTATAAACACTGGTTCCCACCCTTTAATTCAAATTCTAATCCTTTTAATTAACTAAATATACATTAATCAGATTAACTGGATTAACTTTCTGAGTCAACCCCATGGGATAGATGGTTTTCAAAACAGAGTAACTTTGAGACTCTGGCTGTTTAGTAAGCACTCATTTTTTTTTTAGTTTTAACACCGATATTTCAGTATCCTGATATTATAACTGTAACATATATTATCACTGTTGAAGTTGTTAAATGTAATAATTCATTTCTCATTTGGCTTTTAGCATTAAATGTAATAATTCACTTCTCATTTGGCTTTTAGCATTTTTATTCACAGATTAATAAAGCCTTACATTTATATTAATATTAGTTTGCCTAACTTATAAGGTGGAAGTTCAAACAATACAAGGCCCCATCATTTATAGTTTTGGGTTTAGTTGACTTCTAAAACTGCCCACAGGGAAGCATATGCCCAGTGTCCAAAAATTAGATGAGTTGCCTATCTCTTAACTGTAATAGTTTTCTATAAACTCATAGTTTCCTTCTTTATAAAAAAACATCTGTTTCATTGATGTGCAGAATTGTGTGATTCTTGGAGTTAGCCAAGCATCTCCCAATTCACTAGGTTTGTCTCTAGGGTTCCCTTCCCCACCCCAAGGGGAAAGGAGGACAAGCAACTCCCACCTCTGCCACCATGGGAACCAGAAATCAGGACTGGCACCTTCATGGGGAGATTTTTTTAAAGATTTTATTTATTTTATTTTTAGACAGGGGTGAAGGGAGGGAGAGAAACATCGATGTGTGGTTGCCTCTTGCGCATCCACCACTGGGAAGCTGGCCCACAACCTAGGCATGTGCCCTGACTGGGAATCAAACTGGTGACCCTTTGGTTGGCAGGGCGGAGCTCACCGTCTGGCTTTCAATCCACTGAGCCACACCAGCCATGGCCTTCCTGGGAAGATATGAACAATTAACCTCTTTCTAGTAATAATTGAAAACTGCCTCCACACCCTGATAACTTTTCTTCATGGAGAGTTAGGAAGTGACAAAATTACCATCAAGGTAGTCCATGAACAACCTTTAAAACCAAGGAGCACTACATACAATTTTCGATTCAACGACACTGTATAAGTTAGAGCTTTATAAATAATAACTTGAAAATTCACAGAAACATTCACACTAAAGCAGACATTTGAAAGAAAGACTGAATCAGCGAGTGCTCTTGCTGGACACCTGACAGACCCAGTTTGAGTCAGAATCACTATTTGTAGGGTGGCTTACCAAACTGAAACTAGAATTTCAACCGACTTATTAAGACAGTATAGGCTGGTGGCTGAGGCAGTGAACTGTTTTGCCAATCTTCCTAGGTTTAAATCCCAGCAGTGTGGCTTTCCTGGTGTGTGACTTGGGGCAAGTTTCCTAACTGCTCTGTGACTTGGTTTCTTCCTCTTCTCATAGAATTGTTAATACTTATAAAGTTCTTAGCATGGTACCTAGCATATAGTAAGTGCTCAAAAACCATTATGTATAACTAAGTTTGCTTCAACACTGTACTAATTGAAGCATAAATTGCTGATAAATACAGTGAGTCCTCACTTAACATCATCAACATACACAGATTCTTGGGAACCACAACTTGAAGTGAAATGACATATAATGAAACCAGTTCACCACAGGCTAATTGATATAAATAAGAGTTAAGTTTCTATAGCTTATTTGTGGTCACAAAACCATCGCCACACTTCTAAATAAAGATCCAAAACATTTCTAATATTAAACACTAAATAAAATAAATGTAAGCTATACACGTATTTAAGAAAGATGACTAGAAACAAGTATTAAAATTCTTTTCCAACCTGCTTACTGTAGTTCAGGGTCATCTGTGGCTAGAACCTGTCCCAGCAGCTCAGGGCACGAGGCTGTCACCATCCTGGACAGGATGCCCTTCCATCATAGAGCCACTCACCCACATTCAGATTGGGACAGTTCACCTCACGTGCCCATCTCTGGGATGTAGGAGAAAACCCAAACAGACATGAGAAGAGGAAAACTCCACATAAACAGTGGCCCTGGCCTGGAATCAATATTTTTCTCCTCAATCCCTTATGAAACTATGTTGAGCAAAACAACCTTATTCAAAAACCTGCTATATTCCAGTAGACTCTGACCCAACCCCCAGGTGACCCTGGTGATTGATCTAGAAATCTAGCAAATCTTCTGGGACACACAGTAACATTTAGAGCAAATTAATTCCTTGAACATGAGAGTGCGGGTGAGGGAAGCACTGGCAGAGATTACTCTGCAGCACCCCCAAAGAGATTTGTGACTCCTGTGGGCAGGTGTTACATGTGGACTCATGTGATTCCACACTTTTTTGGAGGATTTTGCGACCTGGCAACTTGGGTAGAAGGCAGGGGAGACATCTTAACAGCTTTATCAGATAGACCAGTGAGGGGTCTTCTAATTAAGAATTGCCACCCCTCTGAAAACTGCCTGCATTTTTTCCTAGCCATTACTCTGATGAGCTTCCAAGTTTATTTTGAGATTTACCTGTTATTTCTTTTGAATTATAAAACTTAAAGTATTCCTGTCAGATCATGTTTGAACCACACACACACACACACACACACACAAACAATAAAAACAGTCAATCCATATAATTAAGTGTTGTTACTAATACTAAACTAAGTTGTGTTCTTTTATTTTTTTGGAGAAATTTTCCATTTAACATAAACTATACCCGTAGCAGAAAAACCCTCACCATTTTAAATGAACAGATAGTCTCTTAAAGAAAATTGATTTCAAGTTAGAATGACTTTCCATATTTTGACTTCCTGCACTTTATGTTCTCACTGCCTCAAATTTTCTTCCAATCAGGACTTGCACTTTGCCCTGCAACAGCTTCCTTCATGACACCTGTCCCAGTCAGTCTTGAAAAGCAAGACTGATTTTTTTTTCATTTTGCTATTTTAAGCTACAACTGGCCACCAGTCATATTTATGAAACTTCACCTTAAAGTTTTCCACGCTGTACCCAGCAAGGCAGCTGAAGAACACAGAGGTCACATCTTGATATCTGCCTTAGTAGTAAACACAGAGTCCCAGAATTTACTTTTTGCCTGGTTGCTTTTTGAACCTGTTATTGCTGGTTTACCTTCATCTTTACTGAGTCATCTTTAAAGATAACTTTATAAATGGTAGGATAAATGGATGTGTGCATTAGAATATAAACAGAATAAATGTATGTTCCATAGAAAAATTTCCTCATCTTCTTGCATGTCACTGACCCAAAAGAATTGAAATGACCCCAAAATTCTTAACACATTCATGAGCAAAGTCTAATCACAGTTTATAGGATTCATAGCATTTCCTAAATCTCTATGCTGTTGTGATGTTGAAAGATCATCTGAATTATTTCCTGAGGTGTAAGAGTTTCCCACATTATATATTCTGAGTTCACCAGGATTGAGAAGTTGCCTGTGTTAGTACTCTCCTAATCATTTACAACATAAGTATTCTGAAAGAAGCACAGGTAGTTACAAAAATTTGATGTTTTTCTGATACTATGGAATCATCGAGTATGAGAATACCATTTTAAAAGTTGATGGGAAATTGTTATTTTTAAACTAAGGCCTGTGGCTTTCATGGGGATGTAGAGAAAAGGGCATGAGCTCTGCAGTGAGCAGACTAAAGTTTAATTCTAGTTCTAATTTGTTCAAACTGGCTGAGTAATCTTGGGCAACACACTACCTCAGCTCTGTAAAATGGAACTAATAGTCACTTGTGAAGAATTTTTAAAAATAATCTACAAAGGAATCTTAGCTCACTGCCTGATATACAAAGACCTGCAGTAAATGGGTTTTCCCCCCTTTCATTTACTTGGAGTTTAGGAAATAGGTAGTGTTTTTCTTCTTCCTAATAATCCCTATGGCAGGGGCATCCATTTTTACTTCATTCTTTCCCTCACCCCTAATTTCTGATCACCCTGTTTATCTTTAAATGCAGTGAAATTAGTCTGTTTCCCACACCCATGTCACCTGGAGAAGTGCCAGAAGAGAGCAGGTTTTCATTAAACCTGGTTGCCTGAATTAATTGGGCAATCCCTACATGTGGATGCACAGTGGTGAACAAGGCAGGGGCCCTGATGCTGTGGAACTCCATCTGGGGGGAACAGCAGCAATTACCAAAAATGACATTAAAGTGTGAAGTATTAAAGTGGGGGAAAATGGCACACGCATTCTGACTTCTACCAAGGAGGAGATCTCCTTCAAGGATGTGTGACCCAAGCCCTAAATCCTGCAAGATGACCACAGGACCCGTGGCAGTTCCAGTCTCACTCACTAACCCCATCTGCCAAAACTACTACAGTAAGCATTTGAGGACTAACAGTTTCAATGTTAGTTTTCTCATCTTTAAACTAAGAACAAGACTACCTCCCCACCTAAGTCTTGAGGCCAGCTTTAGAATGCTTTCAATGCTATTTAAAAATAAGACACAATTTTAATGGTAACTACCAAGATTGAGTCTTTGTACAAAGGTGGCAAAGGAGCTTGGGCATATCTGAAAAGGTGGGTCGTATAAGGCTGGTTTGTTCTGTAAGCAAGTCAACAAATTTTGGGTACCTTGGGCAGGGTGATATATATTTACAGCAATATTTATCAATAGGATTCTGTGACTTCTTAAGTAGAACTTCACTTCTGGAATGTTAGGGTTATAAGCAGAGAAATAAAAAAATTAGACCTGTAAAATTATTTGTGGAAGTGTTCAACTTCCCACTTGCAGTTGTTCCTTTAAGGAAGAGGTAGTGTCTAAAAAGATGACCAGAGAAAGCAAGAGGCAGAGAACCTCATTTTGAGTTTTCCTGAAACTTTTCCCGGGAAGCCTCACTGGGTACAAATTTCACTCCCACATTCTCACTGCCTTTACAAGAAAATAATTCTTCCTTGTCCAGATTGCACCTTAACAAAAAAGATGCATCTACTCCACACTAGTTCTGAACCTTGTTAGGTGAAATGTGTCTCACCCAGGCTGTTGCCCAATGTTTTGAGGCAAATGTAGCAGATTATTTTTTAAGTCATATGTTAGATTTAATTAAAACTAGATTTATTTTTAAGTGAAAGTTCAGAGTTGGCTTCATCTAAATATGGCATTGCTATTTTTAGTTTATACCTTTTGTAACGGCTATCATTCCTGCCTTATTTACTGCAACTGTGTTGGCTTTTTTATATTTTTAATCATTGCTTTGGTGATTTAATTTATGTACCGATATTAAAATGTTAAAGTTACGCATGTTGCATTCTGCTCTATTTCCAGGGCCCTAATTCAGTCATGATCATCCTTGTCATGCTGTTGAATATCGGATTGGCCATCCTCTTTGTTCACTTTCTAACTTGACTGGAGTTAGGAAAGGTAAGAATAGTCTTAATCTCTATATAAAAATCATGAAATGTAACATTCTTTTCCCATATTCAAATTCACATTCTTTTTAACTACATATTGTCCTTCACTTTAATTTTGGCTGTGCCTGAATGTGATTCAACATGGTTGCTCAATGATACAACTGTTTTGACCCTACGATGAAGTCATGACAACTAGTGATGTTAGCCCACAGTTCTCTGCAGTGGTGTCATCAGCCCTTTAAATGGCACACCCCGGTCAGACACAGACACAGGGAAGGAGGCTCGGAATTAGGATGGGCTCACAAGAGAAATGAAACTTGGAAAACGCAGCCAGAGCACCCATTCAGTTCCCTTGGGAATGCTTTATGGCTTTGGGGTCCTCTGGGAGCTGAAGCAAGCAGCCATGTTGGAGCACAAAACTTAATAATCATTCTTTTTAAAAATCTGCTGAAACAGGCCCATCCGGCAAAGTTCTTGGCATCGGCTACTCCATCTGTCCTAGCAGAGTGTGACTAAACTGGAAATGTATGGAGCTGCGTTTTTTTTTGTTGTTGATGGAAGTCAACAGCTGCCTTACTATTTTACCATCTGACGTTTTCAGTAGGGAGCTGGGGAAACAAACGAGCTGGAGGAATGCGGCCCGAGGATTGTGTTGCTGCGCCACTTTTCCAACATTCACTCCTGTCTCATTACAAGAACGAGGTAGCAGCATCACTCAGCAGTCTTATGCCATGACCTGCTGCTTTAACGTCTCCCGGAACATTCTGGGAAAAACGTTGCGTTTGCTTGTGCACGACTATTTTTGCTGTTTATTTAAATATGATGTATGGTCACCTACCCTGTGTGGTCCTGGCCAGATGAGACACACATGTTGCATCTCAAGGAAAAGAAACAACAAAATTCTAGAGAAATGTGTTGATTTTGACAGCAATACATCATTTTTTATGTCATGTAGTCTTCCTAAACCTTTGGTGAAAGGCTGTTTATCTTTAAAATTTAGCAATTTGAAAGCATTATACCTTCCTAAGAAACAATTTAATTTTAAATATTTTTAATGTTACTAAATGAATTATTATGCACTTATGAGGTGCTCAACTTTAAAAGCTGAAAGACAACAGAATTCTAAGAAGTCAGAATGTTGCATGGGTTGCAGTAATCGGTGTTTAAAAGATTCAGTTTCATTGCTGACGTACTTTACAACCAAATAAAATCTTGTCGGTAGCTATGTTAATTCCCATGAAAGTTAAGCAAGATGCTATTAATAACTGCTCTTTTTTTCCCAACTGAATATTTTGTTGAATACATTCAGGTAGAGAATAAAGCTTTGTGAAATCACTGCTTCTCAATTTTATGCCTTATGTATTTTTCAAAGTCCTTTTAAAATTTTATTTCACATCTTAAAGGCTTAGACATTTTTGTTTAAGTATTTGTCCTTCACAGTCCTTTGTTATTCTGACAATCTGATTTTTTGCTGTTTTATAATTAATCCTTTATTACTCAGAAGCATGCTTACTTCGAGAAACTACATGGTCTTTCTAAAAGTAATTATTTAAAAAGAAATTGGGGAGGAAAGGTTTCTGTTAAATCTCTATGAAACATTACATTGTAGAAGAGGGGGCTATTCCTAAATATTTTCACAAAATGCATGGTTTAATCCAATTTTCACCTTACTACCTTTTCAATGCAGAAGAAACAATTCACGTGTTAGCACAGGTGTGGCCTGGATGCCCTGTCACCTGCCAGGTAGTAACCCAGTGGTGTTTTTTGCAGAAGTACAATATGTTGAGAATCCTGGGGGTGACCAATGTGGAATAAAGAAGAAAGCAGAAAGAGAGCAAATGAAAATTACAACTTGTATATTTATTTTTTACATTTTGCTTTGACTTTCAAATTTAAGAAGTACGTTTTTACTCAAGAAATGTTTGAGTTCCTCTGTCAGTCGCAATACTGACACTTCTCCTTCCTAATCCCATAGCTCTTTATGCTGGGAAAGCTGATTTTTTAAAGAAAAAAAAACAAAATATTTAATCTTATTAAGTGTTTATTTAAAATATGTCATGCTTTGAAATAATGGGTAACAGATAACTAAAGGATATGTTTATACAGTGAGCATGTTGGTTCCATTTATAAATATATGTATGATTTATAAGCTTTTTTAAAACAAAGCCAAAATTGTTGGTATTTTTCTAAAATGTGCACAGCTGTATTTTACATGAAAGGCTCTTTCTAATGGGTTGTTATACTGTACTCTACATTTTGGACAGCACATGAGGTCTGCCAGTGTACTTAATAAAACATGACTTGTTTATTTAAAGTTTCTTGCTGTGAAAAAGAACTCCCTACCCGTGAGTTCCTTTATTTATAATTCTTGAAACCAAAATGTATAATGTACAGTTTTCACAACTGTATCTGCTCTAATAAAAAAAAGTTGGTTATTTAAAAAGTTGCAGGTGTGTTTTCTTTGTAACTATCTGCAATTACATGGAATTTTTGGTGGTGGTGGTGGTATTGAAAGAAAGACCTGCTGAAAAATTAACAAGGGGGGAGAAAAGGAGGAAGGGGTGGTCTTGCAAGAAGCCACATTGCAGAACGTAGTTGTACTACACCATGACTTCTTTCTATGTTTCTTTCATCCTGGGCCTTCCAAATAATTTTGCAAAATAAGATTCCCTGCTCTGGCTCTTGCCTTCATTAATTGGATTAGTGCCTATTCAGGGTTTCAAGTCAGCTCCTATTTTTCAAGGAAAACTCAAATTTGGAGTAAATTTCTACTTGCATGGGTACTTTTCAATTAAAAATTTTTGACCACTGAGCCCCAAATAAAAATATGTTGCTAGAGCCCCTGCTGCTTAAGCACACTTCTGGAAGCATAGGCCAATGTGCAGCCGCTGGGCTCCCTTTGAAGCCACACTTGGTGCTGGCCTAGGCAAACTGCCTTCGGAGGTATGACAAAAGGATCTCTTCTAGAACAGCTTCCCAGGCAGCTGCCAGAGCACTTATATATTCCCAGATTTGTCACTACTATTGAGGGCTAATCTATTGGAGATCTCCATATAAATAATGCATAAAGTCATCACCACTAGGTACTAACAGACTTACCAATTCAAACGATTAATCTAGCAAATCCTAAAGGAACACAACACAGAACAGACTGTTTGGGAGCAGACGGGAAAAGCACAGGGTTCTAGAAAGATGAGTGATTTCAGATTCATGTCCAAACCACATGTGTTAATGGTTGAGGCCAAAGCTCAGGAGAAGACTGTGTGGTTGAGAAAAATCTGGAAAATATTGTGCATGCTCATTTAATGCAATACACATTTTCAAGAGTTATGGTGAGCAGGCTCCCCAGGCTCACACTCAATACAACTTGCCGTCCTCTTCTCATGTTCTGGGATGTTGTGTGGCCTCGTGTTTCCAACTTCATATGTAGTTGTAGATGTGGCATAGTCTGCCCATCCATGGGATTGGTTCACGAGGCTGTGTTTGATTATCCTAGGTGTGTGAAGTATGTTCAACATTTCATTCTTACTTCAAAAGTACTGAAAAGTACTTTAGTATTCCCTAACAGTTTCTATAGGGGTCAGAATAATGGGGGTAGGACAAAATAACAAAATAATTTAAGGAATACTGATGAATGGTGTGAATATGGATAAACTTTTGGCTAGGCCCTAATTGACTGTCACTTCTCCCCTAATCTGTTCCCCTGGCTTCTTCTCTGTAAAATGGGTGTAATCATATCACTGCCCTCACAGGCTGGTTGTGAGGATGAAATGAGCTCATTTATGTTAAGTGCTTAGTACAGTGCCTGGCACATAGTAACTGTTTTGTATGTGTTAGATTTTACTAATGGATGGAACTAAGAAAAAAATATTAAATGCCTATAAGTGTCTCAAACTAGTTAAAAAATAAAGTGAGATCCCACTAAAGGCCTCTTTATAAGGGTTAACTATGCCACAGGTCATGTGATATTCTTTCTTCAGTGGTGATCAGTGAGTCTTACTCACTGTAAAAACCAAATGCCACATTTACAAACATCCTTCTTGACACTCACATGTGCTTTTCTTTATAGAATGTGAGACATTTGCTTTGCAAAGCACTTTCACATCAATATCTCATTAAATTCATATAAAATTCCTATGGAAGATTTTCTGCAGTTAAATGATTTGCCCAAGGTCTTGTAGACAAAACTTATTAAAATTTGTAATTTCAATCTGACTCTAAATATTGTGCTTTTTCAATGACATATTTCACAGAACTAGAACAAATATTTCAAAAATTTATATGGAACCACAAAAGGCCACACATAGCAACAGCAATCCTGAGAATGAAGAACAAAATTGGAGGAATCATGCTACCTAACATCAAACTATAGTAAAAGGCCATAATAATCAAAATAGCATGTTACTGGCATAAAACAGACACATAGATCAATGGAACAGAATAGAGAGTCAAGAAATAAACCCACACCTTTATAGTCAATATTCAACAGAGGAAGCAAGTTCACACAATGGGCTAAAGTAGTTTATTAAAGAAATGGTGTTGGGAAAATTGGACAGATATGTGTGGAAAAATGAAACTAGACCACCTTCTTACACCACACACAAGAATAAATTCAAAATGGATCAGAGACTTAAATGTTAGACCTGAAACCATAAAAAATCCTAGTGGAAAACAGGCAGTAAAATATCAGACATCTCTCATTTAAATATTTTGCTGATATATCTCCCAGGGCAAAGGAAACAAAGGAAAAATAAACAAATGGGACTACATCAAATTAAAAAGCTTTTGCACAGCTAAAGAAACCATAAACAAAATAAAAAGGGAACCCAGTATATGGAAGAACATATTTGCCAATGATACTAACAAGGGGTTAATTTCCAAAATAGATCAAATACTTATATAACTCAACACTAGAAAGGCAATCCAATTAAAAAATGGGCAAAAGGACTTGAACAGACACTTCATGATACAAGACATACAAATGGCCAATAGACATATGAAAAGATGCTCAACATCTCTAATCATCAGAGAGATGCAAATTAAAACCAGTGAGATACCATCTCACATCTGTCAGAATGGCCATCATCAATAAGTCAACAAACAACACGTGCTGGTGAGGATGTGGAGAAAGGGGAACCCTTTTGCACCATTGGTGGGAGTGCAGACTGGTGTAGCCACTGTGGAAAACAGTATGGAGATACCTCAAAAAGTTAAAAAGGGAACGCCTTTTGACCTAGCAATCCCACTTCTGGGAATATATCCAAAGGAACCCAAAACACTAATTCAAAAGACCATAAACACCCCTATTTTCATTGCAATATTATTTACAATCACCAAGATATGGAAGCAGCCCAAACATCTATCAGTAGATAGGTGGATAAAACAACTGTGGGATATTTACACAGCAGAATACTACTCAGCCATAAAAAGAAAATTTTATCCTTTGCGACAGTATGAAAGGACCCAGAGAACATTATGCTAAGGGAAATAAGCCAGTCACAGAAAGACAAATACCATATGATTTCACTCATGTGGAATCTAATAAACAAACTGAACTAACAAGGAAAATTGGGACAGACTTATAGATGGGGAGCAGGAGGACGAGTGGTGGGCATTAGGGGATAGGGAGATTGAGCAAAAAGGAAAAAAGACTAATGGATATGGACAACACTATGATGATTGCTTGGAGGAGGGAAGGATAAGAGGACTAAAATTAATCTTAATATAATAAAGATTAATTTTAAAAATAAAAATATTGAGCCTTTTCATCTCATATATTGGCTAGCATTATTCCACATGTCACAATCATCAACCGTGAAAAGGTAGAAAATATGAAGTTCAAGGTAACATTGTGTGTTATAAGCCCACTTCTATTAAGTTTCTTAATGCCACTTGGTTGATGTACCTACAGTAGAGTCTATTAGAAGGTCTGAATAATGTATTTACAATTCTACTGTTATGTGACTTTTTATAATGTATTTATGATATTTCTTTTTGAACCTTATGCAATACAAAATGTTATTAACAAAAGTTTTACATTTAAATAATATCTTGGTATTTTTGGAGTAAGAGGCACATTATAAATTACTTTGGTTGTGTGTGTTTGAACTCGGTGTCTAGGATTAAACCAAAAAATTTGCACACTGCCTAGAAGCCCTAAAATATTTACACAAACATCATGGTGTTCTTTTCACTTTGAAATTCTCTCACTTTGGTATTCTATTGAATCCCAAGTCTGTTATAGATAAACTATTAGTAAAATTAATACAAAAGTGAGGGCCCAAGATTTGTTCAGCTAGTGATTGTTAAAGCTGTTCACTTACTAAGGTAAAGAGTATAGTAATATCAACTCCCAGTCAAGATGGTGGAGCAGGTAAAACTGCTCACCTCCTCACATGACCACATCAAGATTACAACTAAATTATAGAACACCCATTGTTAAGAACCACCTGAGGACTAGCTGAACAGAATTCCTGTAACTAAGGATATACAGAGGAAGCCACAATGAGATTGGTAGGAGGTGCAGAGACACAGATGGGTGACTCCTACACCCACATGTGTGGTGATTAAGAAAGGAGGGATATCTTGGCTGCAGAGGTCACCCTGTGAAGTGAGGGGTCTCAGCCCCTCACTGGGCTCCCCCTTCCCATAGCCCTAGGGCCAGGAAGAGGCGTCCCCATAATATCTGTCTGTGAAAACCACCAGGGATTGCAGATGAGTGAGACTGAGGGTACTGGAGAGATTTAAACACTGCAGGTCTTAAGACCTGGGCACAGACTCCCTCTGGGTTCCAGCAGTGGTACAGCAGCTACAAAAGCACCAGGGCCATGTGGGGAGGAACTGAATTGACTGTCTTCAGGGCAGAGCTAGAGGGCAAGGTTCAGGATGGAAGGGCTGGAAGACACCTTTGTTCCTTTGTTGAGTTCCCCACCTTCCACCCTGCCCCCAACCTGCATTGGCAGGAAGGTACCAAATCTGAGCTCTCTATTAACTTGGCTAACATCATTCACCCTGCCGTAGTGACTTGCTGAGACTATGCCCCACCCAACTTGCACACCTGGTTTTAACCTCTTCTAGCTGCTTTTCTACGCAAATGGCCTTCCTTGGCTCACACTGTAGACTTTTCTAAAATCTCTCAAGGGTTCACAAACACCAAACAAGCAGTGGCTGTCCTCAGCCTGCCCCATTTCTCTTGCTAAGCAGTGCCAACTGGGGGCAGCCAACCTCAGTTCCCAGCATAGTCTCTCCCAGGTGCCTCCAAGCCCAGCACAGGTGAAATAAAACTCATTTTGTAGCTTCTACCAGGTTGTCCTGGGCTAGGCATAGGCAGCAGCTAATTTAGGCCTGTACCCAGAGCCCCTCTCAAGAGGCCCCAGGAAAATACACCCTGAGGTCAGCTTCACACAACACCTGAGCACCACCCAACCAGCTCCACAAATGACA